TGTCTCGCCTAGGAGGGGAAGTCGGTGATGTGAAGGCAATGAGGTCCTTGGCAGCCTCAAATGCCTCCGGCGTGGAAGGTAACTGTAGATTGCGGCCTTCTCGGAGAGGGGAGCGTTGGGGGCCCAGACTCGACTGGTCCTGTGCTGGGGCAGGAGTCGATGGGACCCTAGTTGGAGGACTCAAACTCACGTGGCCTGCCATGGTTCTCACGGTGGCGGACTTCTGCGCCGGTTTGGGTGTGGGGGAGTGGCCCCTTTTGGGTCTCCTCTTCTTGTGGGGCACCGGGGATTGCGAACGGTGCTGCCCACTGCCCTGCATGGATCCCCTATGTGGGGAACTGTGCTGGTGCCGAGGGTCTCTGGCAGAGTCCTACCTCGATGCCAACTCATGTATCGGTGGTGCCAGCACACTGCGCACCAATGTCGAGGTGCTCAGCGTCGGCTTGGCTGACCTGGGGCTCAAGTGGGGACGGAAGGCAGCCTCCATCAGAAGGATCTTGAGGCCCTGATCCCTCTCCTTCTGAGTCGTAGGACGAAATCCCCTGCAGATCTTGCGGCGTTCCTTTTGGTGGCTCTCCCCCAAACATTTCAAGCAGGAAGTGTGTGGGTCACTCCTGGGCATAGACTTGCCACACGCTGCACAGGGTTCAAACCCTGGGGAGAGGCGGGCAGTGGGCGTACCCCCAAACAAAAACTACTACAGTTAACACTATCTAACTATTTACAGAAAAAGTTCAAGACTGCTAAAGAAGCGCTTGCCGAAGCAAGAGATAACGAGCGTTCCGGCTAACCGTCACAGGTGGTAAGCAGGACCTGAGGTGGCGGCGGGTCGGCAGGGCCCTGTATTCAGCAGCGTGTCTCCAGGGGGCACCTGGACCGACCCGACGGGTACTGCTAGGGGAAAAACCTTCCGGCTGCCATGCACGCGGCACACGCACGCCTAGTTGGAATTGACATGAGCAATCACTCGAAGAAGAATCAATGCTCTAGACCAGGCATGGCCAAGCTGTGGCTCATGAGCCACATGCGGCTCTTTTACAGTTAAAGTGCAGCTCCCAGAGCCCCCCACGTACCCCCCCCATTCTCCACTTACAAGACTGGGCAGAGGGGAGCTCGGGGCTTCTGCCCTGCAGTGGGATGATGGGACTAGAGGCTTCTGCACTGCAGGGAGGGGGGCCTCAGGGCTTTAGACCAGCAGGTGGGCATCGGGGCAGAAGCCCCACACCCCAGCAGGCACCACCCTACGGGGCAGGTTGTGTGCGTCTTGCAGCTCTCGAACATCTGAAGATTATTGTATGCGGCTCAGAGGGTCAGTAAGTTTGGCCACTCCTGCTCTAGGTGAATACAATGAATAAAACCACCAAACAAATGAAGGAGGAAGCCTCATAAGACCTCCTTCAAAGGCTGACAACTCTCCTCTCAAGAGATCATCATAAGAGCTTTAAAGAGGCAGCACTGCCTTCAAAGGAAGGTTACTTGAGAGCAGCAGCCCACAGCTATGCCTGTTCAGTAGGCAGCTGGTCTAAATGGGACGCCATGGCTGATGGTAAGTGGGTATCAGGGGTGCACAGATTGAGTTAATTAGTTTCTGCCCAGCTGGGTGGAGAGAGAAAACTTATGAGGAATGTCTGGGCCTGCCTTGACGCGTGGGAAGGTGACGTGGGCAACAGAGAAATACTTCTGGAAAGGCTGGCAAGTCCAGTAGGGCATAGTGCCAAGACTGTGCTGTGGGTGCCAACTAGCAATGAGAAGAAAAGGCAGAGCATTTAAATAGATCTCAGAACATTTGAAGACTAAGGGCTAGATTCACAAAGGGACTTGGGCATCTACCTGCCTCTTAGGCATGTAAGTCCAACATTTTGGCCCTACTGGCATTCACAAAACCCCAGCTCAGCTGCCACTTAACCTGTAGGTCCCTCTATTTCCCAGGCACCTATGTTTCTGCCAGTAAAGTCCCCTACATGCTTGAGTTTCCACTGCTGGGTACGAGCAAAACCACCTAAGTCCTGATGCTGCCGAGCTGCCCGGAGCCCTAGCTCACGCCTAAGCTGTGATGGGATTCTCAAAGTAGACATTCCCCCATCTGTGGGCCTGATCCAAAAGGTATGCGCTGAGCATGACTAACCCACCCAAAAGACAGCAGGGACGAGAGTTTGGGGAGCATGTATTTTCCCCCTTTACTCAACTGTACAGTGGTTAGGGCACTCACCTCAGATGTAATACCCCCAGGTTTGATATCTCCACTCTGCCTGACTTGGAGCAGGGACTCAAACCTGCCTTATCCCCACCCCGGGGCAGTCAGTCCCCTGACCATGGGATATGGGGTCAATCTCTCTCACTTTCTCTCTCACCCAACGAATGTTTAATTACATATACAAAATGGAACACCGTCAACAGGAGAGCTCCAGCCCAGAATGCTCAATAGCCAGATGGTTAGGACCCTTTCCTGGGGTGTGAAAGAGCTGGGTTCAAGTCCCTGCAGCTACTGGTTATAAAGGGATGGTCTCTCTTTCACTCTGGTTGGTTGTGTTCTGCCAGAAAGCGCTGATCTGGCTTAGGCGCCTAACTCCAGGAATCCTGAGTGGAAACGGGCCCTTCCCTTCAGCCCAGAGTTTGGCACCTGGGTAAAGGCCTGGTGAGTCTGAGCATTATTGTTTCTCAGCAAAGCTGGTCCTCTGGCTTTCTATTTTCTCAGCCTGTAGTAATGCCCGGTTGTTAATATGAAAGGCCTACTGCGCCTGGGAAACTAAACCAAGGAAAACTCTGCAAGTTCTGAATGGAAGCTCAGAACCCTGAGAGGCAGAAGCAAGGCGCTTGGACCCCTTCAATTTGACTGATTGCATAGACCTGTCCAAGTCTGATATAACCCATCCAGTTAGACTGACCTCGTTCTCAGAATGCCACTGTGACGTTCCCCTCTGGTGTTATCTGGACCGGTGATCTGCTAGGTCACTCCAACCCTCGACTCTGGGAGCCAGCCATACCCTGCTCTGCTGTGAGAACCCTCACCCCTGGGCTGTTCACGCACAGCCTCTGGCGTGTAAACTGCTCCTTGGATTGTGCAACCGAATGACACTAGCCAATATCTCCAGTCCCAGACACAACCCTAGGAACCTCTGTCTTGCAGTGTCCAGTTGTGCCCGCTGGACGCTGCAAGCTTATATGAGTTTGTCAATTTAACAAGGAAATTGATATGTGCCAGGCATGGTATCCCAAGGGGAGTCTGACACGCTTCAAACCAAACGCACTGCTTCAGGTAGAATAAACCAACAGATTTATTAACGACAAAGACAGATTTAGTGATTATAAGTCAAAGCACAAGTCGGATTTGGTCAAATGAAATAAAGCAAAACACGTTCTAAGCTGCTCTTAACACTTTCAGTGCCCTTACAAACTTAGATGCTTCTCACCACAGGCTGGCTGGTTGCCCTTCAGCCAGGCTCTCCCCTTTGATCAGCGCTTCAGTCGCTTGGTGGTGGTGTCTGTAGATGGAGGTGGAAGAGAGAGGAAGAGCATGGCAAACGTCTCTCCCTTTTATCATGTTCTTTCTTCCCTCTTGGCTTTGCCCCCCCTCCCCCCTTCAGGGTCAGGTGAGCATTACCTCATCGTAGTCCCAAACTGACCAAGGGAAGGGGAGTGACTCACTCGAGAGTCCAACAGATCCTTTGTTGCTGCCTACGGGCTAGTCTGCCATGGCAGCGCTAACATGCCTTGTGTGGTCGCAGTGCCACCTCAACAAGGGGTGTCGCTCCCAGCGCTGGGGCACTGTTTACACTGATGTTTTACTGCGCTGCAACTTGCTGTGCTCAGGGGGGTGTTTTTTCATACCCCTGGCTGTTAATTGCCAGTGTAGACAAGCCCTAGGCCAGTGTCCTTTGTTCCTTTGAGGCTGGGCTGGGCTTGTCCCATACATGCCCTGATGAGGTGTGGACTGCCCCTCTGCTCTTGGAGAGTTTTTGCCTGGGCTGGTTTTAAGCCAGGAGGACACATTTTCAGCCTCATAACTATATATAGGAAATTACAACCTATAACCTTACTAACACATTGCTGTAGCAACAATTACTATAACATCACTATAACAATGCTCAGAGCATCACGAGCCTTCCGAAGACACCCGACGTGACAAACTTTGCATTAGACACCACACAGTCATATTATAAAGATGAACATGGGGGTGCAGGGTATTCTCCCGAGGTACACAACGTCACACTGGTCCTCTGGCTTTCTATTTTCTCAGCCTTTAGTAACGCCTGGTTGTTAATATGAAAGGCCTACTGCGCCTGGGAAACCAAACCAAGGAAAACTCTGCAAGTTCTGAATGGAAGCTCAGAACCCTGAGAGGCAGAAGCAAGGCGCTTGGACCCCTTCAATTTGACTGATTGCATAGACCTGTCCAAGTCTGATATAACCCATCCAGTTAGAGACTGACTTCATTCATTCTCAGACTGTCAGCTCTTCAGGGCAGGGAGCATGTCTTCACACATGTTTGTACTGACTCTGGCACAATGGGGCTGCCTTCTCACGAGGGCTTGGGGGAGCAACAGGAATCTGAATACTCAATAAGACGACTTCCCCAAGAAAGGCTGATGCTTTGGGAATGACGCGAACAGATGCAACGATCTCCCCGCAGCTACCCTGGGGGTCAGACACCACAAATCAAGCAGAAACAAAAGAAGGGGCGACCTTGTATTCACTGACTGCTAATTAGATGCCCTCTTGGTTTGGCTCCTTCCTTCAGGCTAGGGCCCTAGTCTGGGATGACAGCCCCAGGGTGCCAGGCAATGAATAAACAGAGAGACAGGCCCAGTCCTGAAGAGCTTACAATCAGAAGAGGCGACACAACAGGTGGATGCAACAAGGAGCACATGCAACATGCCTGGCTCCCAAGAGTGCTTAGAGAGAGTGTGTGGTATGTGGTATAGCTAATGGAATCGGATTCAGTACCTCCATGGTCCACATCAAACTATGGAGACAGCTGCCAGGCAGAGCACAGTGCCTACCTTTACGCTTCAGAGACATTAGGGACCGAAAGAATCCAGAGGCTGTGCCAATGCCACCAGGCAGCTTGGGCTCCTCCTCCCCCATCAGCTGGGCCAACTCTGCTCCTGGCAGGTCGATGAGCCTGGTGATGTTGCTGACAACCAGCTCTGTGAAGACTTCAGGCTTCTCATGCCGCAACTTCTCCACAAAGAAGTCAGGGTTGAAGATGACTGTTTGCCCACGGAGGGAGGAGTCATTGCAGATGACAAACCTGCAGATGGCATCGCTGGGAAAGAAAAGGAGACAGGTTGTAAAACATTTCCTCCGGAATTCACTCGTACAGCCAGTGTCCCCCCAAATCCCAGGCCTCCTGAGCAACCTCACGCGGGAAAAGACATCTACTCGCACTGGAGCTGCCAGGGTGTTCTTCAGAACCACTGCCTATCCCATGCTTGCTATTAGTCAACAGCATGCGTAGCTCCAGCGGAGCCGGGACAACAGCTCTTCTTGGTTTTGGTTTTTAACGTTCTAATTAACAACTGTACCCAACACAAGATGCACAAAACAGTATAACTGTCTCACAACTCTGTCTAATAAACCTTGCCAGCAAGATTTCAGATCACTAAATGCCTCAGGGTAGAAATCTCAGAGAAAGGGAAAAAGCCCCAAAAGCAGCTATTTTAATCATTAACCAAACTTTAAACCTGAAGGCTCTAGTCACACTACCAGAGCAACTATCACTTGTGACAGTGAGCATATCCCCAAAGAATATATACCAGGTAACAAAAGCACAGCCACACATGGAATGCTACAATGCAGCCTGCAACTACCTTTATCTTTAATACAAAGGCCCACAGAAACTGCGTGCCCAAATGTACTCAGATCAAGATTAGGAACTAAACACTGGGACTGGATTCTCCACTAGCTGCACCTCTTACCAAAGACAAGGGCAGTTGGAATTGGCTTGATTTTATCTCAGGCGCTGCTTACATGCTCATGGGAAATTACTAGAGGGGCCCTACATTTAGGCAAAGGCGGGGTGTCTGCAAGGTACACATACACCACTGACAGTCAGCATCCAGACAAATATCAAGACTTTCCTCTAGCTTTCACAAAGGTTCAAACTGGTAGCACAGCACCAAATGTGCACAGACATTTAATTCCCCAGTGGGGAGTGTTAAACATATTTTTTTCTGCTGTAAACCAATAATTACAAATAGCAACGAATGGAGAAGACAGAAAAAAAATCCCATACTACACATAGAAAGGTAACCTCAATCTACAATCTATTGTCTCCCTGTTATTTGTGAGCTTCAATAACTATGTGAACTATATGCATCTGTGACGTTACTGACATGAACTGTGACCGTATAGATCATTGTTACAACCAAGGTCCTATAGTGGCACCAAATCTTGTACAAAGGAGGTCGAGTGGGGTGTCTATGGAAAGGTTATGATTTGCTGGTTATGATTATGATATCTGTATGCAGGTATCATTTTGTATCTAATGTTATAAGTATTGGCTCTATCCTGTCTGTATTTCAAACTTGTGCTATACTTCTGGGTGACACCCCAGACAGGCTGGCATCAGTACGGCCTCGCCTGCTTGATGGCCCATTAAGAACCATCAGCTACACAACTGACCTATTGAAAGAAGGCAGATACACCTTATGACTCAGCAAGGCATGCAGGGACAGGCCTATGGACAGAACTCTGAAGCTTTCAAGCCATGTGCTGGGCAGCTTGTGTTTGAAACAAAGGAAACACAGGCCACATGACAAGAGGCTATAAAAGGCAGCTGCATCTTCTCCATTTTGTCTTCAATCCTGCTTCTGACCTCTGGAGGGACTATGCTTGAAACTGAAGCTCTGAACAAAGGACTGAACAACCCATCCAAGCTGGGATGTTTGTATTCCAGAGACTTAATTGGTTTAAAATCAGCAGTAATCCCATCAAGCCTAAACTAAGAACTTTGCAATTGTTGTATGTATTTGATTCCATTTAACCAGTTTTAACTCTCATCTATATTTCTTTCTTTTTATGAATAAACCTTTAGGTTTTAGATTCTAAAGGATTGGCAACAGCATGATTTGTGGGTAAGATCTGACCTGGGTCTGGGGCTTGGTCCTTTGGGATCAGGAGAACCTTTTTTCTTTTACTGGGGTATTGGTTTTCATAACCATCCATCCCCATAAGGAGCAGTGCTGGTGGTGATACTGGGAAACTGGAGTGTCTAAGGGAATTGCATGTATGACTTCTGGTTAGCCAGTGGGGTAAAACTGAAGTCCTCTCTGTTTGGCTGATTTGGTGTGCCTCAGCTAGTAAAGGAACCCCAGCCTTGGGATGTAACTGCCCTGCTCTAAGCAATTTGTCCTGAATTGATACTCTCAGTAGTGTCCTGCCAAAGGCAGTTTCGTTACAGCATTTTTGACCTAAAAAGCAGAAAAGACGGTTACCCACCTTTTCAATAACTGTTGTTCTTCAAGATGTGTTGCTCATGTCCATTCCATTCTAGGTGTGCACGCGCCTACGTGTGTGGTCAGCAGAGATTTTTGCCTTAGCGATATCTGTAGGGCCAGCCATGGCGCCCCCATGAGTGCCACTCTCATGTGCTGGTGTATCAGGCACTGCCGGCCCTATGCCTTTTCGGTTCCTTCTTGCTGACAACCCTGACAGAGGGGCAAGAGAGTGGGTAATGGAATGGACATGAGCAACACATCTCGAAGAACAACAGTTATAAAAGGTAGGTAACCGGGTTTTTTTGGGGTCTTGCTCATGTTGATTCCATTCTAGGCGACTCACAAGCAGCATCAATCAAGGTGGGCTCAGAGTTCACAGTCTTGCAGCACTGCTCTGCCAAAGCTAGCGTCATCTCGAGCTTGCTGGGTCAGTGCATAATGAGACGCGAACGTGTGGACGGCCGACCAGGTAGCGTCTCAACAGATTTCTTGGCTCGGTACCTGTGCCAGGAAGGCTGCCATTGATGCCTGTGCCCTAGTTGAGCGTGCCGTCACTATCACTGGCGGATGCAGGCTGAAACCTGTGATCCAGGATGAGATCCTCTGAGCAGACATTGGGCAACCCTTCATCCTGTCTGCCACTGCAACGAACAACTGCATTGACTTATGAAACGGCTTTGTTCTATCTATGTAGAAGGCCAGCGCCCTCCGGATGTCCAGGGTGTGTAGCCTGCATTCCTCATCTGACGCATGAGGCATTGGAATTAAGACTGGTAAGTATATGTCCTGGCCAGTATGAAATTGGGATATGACCTTGGGCAGAAACGCCAGGTGCGGGCACAGCTGGACCTTGTCCTTGTAGAAAACCATACAGGGTGGCTCTGAGGCAAGCGCCCTGATCTCAGACACCCTACGGGCCAACGTTATCGTGACCAGGAATGAAACCTTCCAGGAGAGAAGCAGGAGAGAGCAGGGAGCCAAAGGCTCAAAGGGAGATCCCATGAGCCTTGACAGCACAAGATTCAGGCCCCAGGATGTGAGGATAGAGCCACTCCAGACTCTTCAAAAACCACGCCGTCATATGGTGGGCGAAGATAGACCTGCCTTGGAAGGGAGGCTGGAACGCTGAAATGGCAGCCAGGTGGACCTTGATCGAAGAGAGGGACAAGTCTTGGAGCTTGAGGTGCAGCAAATAATCCAGGATATCCTGCAGCGGGGCCTCCGAGGCCCGAATACACCACTCCAAGGTCCAACATGTGAACCTTTTCCACTTCGCCAGGTAGGTCATCCTGGTGGAGGGTTTCCTGCTGCCTAGCAAGATCTGCTGAACACGGGTCGAGCGTGCCCGTTCGTCCGTGCTTAGCCACGCAGTAGCCAAGCCGTCAAGTGCAGCGCTGCCAGGTTCAGGTGCAACAGACTGCCGTGGCTCTGGGACAGCAGATCTGGCCGACGTGGCAGTTGTAGTGGGGCAGCTGCTGAAAGGCTCAGCAACGTGCCGAACCAGTGCTGGCGAGGCCACGCGGGGGCCACCAGGATAATCTTTGCTCTGTCTTGCTTGACTTTCACAAGGACCCTGTGAATCAATGGCACTGGCAGGAAGGTGTACATCAGCAAGGTATAGCCCTGAGATACTAATGTCCAGTACCCAGCAGTCCGAGGTGACCCGCAACCAGGCCGAATGGTAGGGGTGAAGGCAGTTGAAGAAAGAAAACGGTGGAGCTGGGGAATTGACTGGGGCCTCGCACGCTCGCTTCTGACTTCTAGAATGCTTTGCCGGGCCAGGCTGTTCAGGTGAGCGGGAGGTGGAAAGGCAGTGACGACCAAACCCAGACAAGGCTGCCAAGACCTTGGCGGCGGAGGTGGCCGGAACTGCTTGCACACCGACTGTGGCGTATGCATGCCCAGTGAGCGAAGGGTGGACCTGGTATCTTTCAGCCCATGGAGTCTCACATCCATCTGGTCAGAAAAGAGACCATTCCCATCGAATAGGAGGTCTTGCATGGAGGTCTGCATCTCCTGGGAGACTCCAGTGGTCTGAAGCCAGGAGCTGCACCTCATTACCACCGCAGACGCTACCACCCTGGCTGCCGAGTCCGCCGCATCCCACGCCATCTGGAAGGAGCACCTGGCCATCGCGGTGCCCTCCTCCACCAGAGTATCAAACTCTTAGGAGTGGGTACTGCCTCCTCTGCCTCCGGGCGCGCCTCTCGCACCGAGCTTGGTGCCGTCGGTGCCATCACCTGCTGCTCCGAGGTGGAGGCAGACAAGCGGAGCGAAGGGGCATTGCCATGACCGGCACTCCCCACATGTTCCAACAAGGCCACTGGCCGGGCTGCTACTGCGCCGATGCAGCCTCGGGTGCCCATTTACGCCATTGGGGTCTAGGTGAGGGGCTAACTCTCCCTTCTGTGCCAGAGGAACTGCCTTTCGGAGACCACGGTGGGGCCGTGAATGCCTGGGTCTGTTTAGAGACCACTGTCATCGGAGCCTGGTGCCCAGAACGAGGGGACCAATGTCAGAGCCGGGGGGGACTGGAGATGGAATGGAGAGTGCTCCCACGTCGTAGGCGACCGAGATCAACGTCGAGAGGGCGACTGGCAGGAGGGTGACTGGTACCGGTAGTAAGGAGACCGGCGCCTCCCTCTATGCAGTCCACATCAAGATGACGGGGACTGTGATCGTGGTGCTGGTGACCGAGGGTGAGCCCCAGACAATCTGGGCAGTGGCTCCAGTTACCTGCGGCGCGGAGGTGGAGAGCACGTCATTGTCTCAGGGGATTGGTGGCACTCCACCGCTCCCTGAGGAGCTTTAGCGGCTGGCTCTTGGGGAGCCTTTGCCGAAACCTGCGGCACTTGCTGTGTCGGCGGTGCGGGTGGAGGCCTTTGCTCTCTCGGCGGTGCGGGAGCACGCAAGGACATTGGTGTCGGCAGGAGTGTTGGTACGATACCATTCACAGGAGTCGGAGGAGAACCTTTCATGGGGATAACGGCTCTGACGGGAGAAGGCCGACTGCGTGGCACCGGGGTAGACGGGAGGCCTGAGGTGGATCCTTTGCCCAATGAAACCTGGCTCTTCTTTCCTGGCGCTGGGGAACCATGCTTCCTCACCTTCTTTTTAGGCACGGTGCTGGGCAGAGGTCGGTGCTGGCAGTGCACTTCGCACTGATGCCGAGGTGCTCGGCCAATCCTGCCGGGATGGCTCGGCGGCCAGACGGAGGGTGGACTCCGTGAGGAGAGCCCGTAATTGAATATCCTGCTCCTTCTGTGTGCGGAGCTGAAAGTTCTTACAGATACGGCACTTGTCTTTCGTGTGTGCCTCCTCCAAGCACTTGAGACAGCTGCTGTGGGGGTCACTCACAGGCATAGACCTGTTACAGTCTGCGCAGGGCTTAAACCTGGGAGACTGAGGCATGCTCCCTCCGAGGCAAAGTCCCCACTGGGACTCTACTACCAACTATGAACATGCAACAGCTACTGAACACTAACTACTAAAGAATTAACTATTTACAAGGCCCAAAGGCACAAAGTCCGAAGACGAAAACTGCTAGCCCTTGGTAAGCAAGGAAAGGCGCTCTGACTAACCACCATGGGCGGTAAGAAAGAACTGAGAGGGCGTAGGGCTGGCGGGCCTGATATACTGGCGCATGAGCATGGCATCAAAGGGGCGTCACAGCAGGCCCTACGAACACCACTAGAGGCAAAAATCTCCGATGACCGCGCACACCTAGAATGGAATCGACATGAGCAAGCACTCGAAGGAGGACTGTGGTGTCATAACTAGGCTACGTGACCAGAATAAGTGACAAGAGAACTTGGGACTTAGACTCCACAGTGGAAAACACTTGCTGGAATCACTGTAAACCACGGACTTGCAGCCAGCACTCTGCAATTTGTGCTGAGTGAGAATCCCAACAGAAACCCTCTCTGCTGTCACTACTACACAGGTGTGATGGGGGCTATTTTGAGAGAATAGTGGAGACTGAAAGGATGCCAGGCAGATGAGACTGGCAGAATCATCTCAGAGTAACAAGCTGTGAGGGGTTCACAGCTGCATTCTGTAGGGTAGCCTAGGCAGCATGCTACTGATTCCAGTATCACTTGATGGGTCTCTCAGCCGTTTGTTGCACCTAAGGACTTAAGACCAAGATGGAGCAATTCAGTACCAACTGCCAAAGACACCTGCTGATTGATCTCCCCATACTCACAATGTTACAAGGGTTTAAAAACCACACACAAGTGCCAATTCTTCCCAACAATGTGCAGCCAGAGCTCTGTCCTGAAATCCGTAACAACCCACTTTGATCCAACACAAGTCCTCCTGCTGACTGTGAAGAGTTACAAAGGGATCTCACAAAACTAGGTGACTGGGCAACAAAACGGCAGAGGAAATTCAATGTTGAGAAATGCAAAGTAATGCACATTGGAAAACACAATCCCAACATACGAAATGGTGGGATCTAAATTAGCTGTTCCCACTTGAGAAAGATCTTGGAATCATCATGGATAGTTCTCTGAAAACATCTACTCAATGTGCAGTGGCAGTCAAAAAAAGCTAAGAGAATGGTAGGAACCATTAGGAAAAAGATAGATAATAAGACAGAAAATGTCATAATGCCACTATATGAATCCACGGTATGCCCACATCTTGAATACTGCATGCAGTTCTGGTCGCTCCATCTCAAAAAATATATTAGAATTGGGAAAAGTACAGAGAAAGGCAACAAAAATGATCAGGGTATGGAACAGCTTCCATGGGAGGAGAGATTAAAAAGATTGGGACTGTTAAGTTTGGAAAAGAGACGACTGAGGGGGGAATATGATAGTGGTCTATAAAATCATGAATGAGGTGGAGAAAAAGTGTTATTTACCCCTTCACATAACACAAGAGCTGGGAATCAACCAATGAAATTAATAGGCAGCAGGTTTAAAAACAAACATAAGGAAGTACTTCTTCACATAACACACAGTCAACCTGAGGAACTTATTACCAAGGGATGTTAAAGACCAAAAGTGTAAGTGGGTTCAAAAAAGAATTAGATAAGTTAATGGAGGATAGATCCATCAATTGCTATTAGCCAAGATGGTCAGGGATACAAACCCACGCTCTGGGTGTCCTTAAATCTCTGGCTATCAGAAGATGGGACTGGATGACAGGGGATAGATAATTCAAATGTCCTGTTTTGTTCATTCCCTCTGAAGTGTCTGGCACTAGCCACTGTTGGAAGACAGGATGTTGGGCTAACTGGACCATTGATCTGACCCAGTCCGGCCATCCTTATGAGGTGGTTTATTATTTAGACCCAGCTACCCGGCCTGCAATGATCCTTGCTCTGTTATTCACTCACTAGCAGTTTTTGTTCCCCACACAGTAGATATGCAAATACTTTCTAACAGCTACATCAAGCCGCACAAACTATCTGCTCCCTCCACTGCTAATTACGTCTCTAGATTCGCAGAGAGAAAACCCACTGCACTAAAATCAAATCTCTCCAACCTAGAACCACCGACAGGATCACCAGGCATATTCCAGAGGTTAGTTTCAGTAAATTCAATAATGCCTAAAGCAAAAACAGATAGAAAACCAAATCTCTTACATGAATGCCGAGAGCTTTTGGAGAGGCATTGGGAAGCAAAGACACTGAGAAAAGAACTTGCTCCTTGTTTCCAACAACAAAGACACCCGCCTGCCCCAGCACAGCCTATGCAAATTCCACGCATGCTACAAGACACAAGGGCGCATTATTGGGTCTGAAGGGCCCCCTTGGCACACACTGGGCATCAGCCGTCACGCAGAGACAAAAAAGTGAAAAGAAAAGCTGGACAAACTGATTATGTCACTTCCCAAAGGTCAGTGTAGCCGGAGTCTCATGGCAAACAATTCCATCTGCACGGAAACTAGGGATATGAATTAGGGATACTTTGGGCTTAAGTAATGTAACTAACAGGAACCTACCAAATGGTCCCCAGTTTAACCCATCTATACGACAAGTGAAGCCATGTCACTAGGTCCCCTGTCTGGGTTGAAGCATGGTTCCATTTTGTAGTGATTACAGAGCCGTCACCATGTCTCTCAATCATGCTAAAGCCATATCCTTGGACAAGTGGTGGACAACCTGCGGGCCGCACGCGTCCCGTCAGGGTAATCTGCAGGTGGGGCACGAGACAGTTTGTTTACATTGACTGTCCGCAGGCACGGCCGCTCGCAACTCCAAGTGGCCGCAGTTCGCCACTTACAAATGTAGATTTTTGTTTTGTTTCAGAAACAAAACAATGTAAAACTTTAGAGCCT